GAAAGAAACTGCAAATTAAGTTGGCGAGTTTTATTTAACAATCCAGAGATCGTACCCGAAGGATTCGGAAAATAATCGAGGTTAATTTAGTAAAATCGTAACAATATGTAAAATAGAGCTCAAGATACTCGGGTATCGAGCAATGTGAGTAGCTCGATACTCGTTCTTAGCTCAACTGCTCAAATGATAGTTTGAAATCTTTTAAATTTCAATTTTATTTGTTAAAATTTCATTAGTTTTTCAATTAGTTTTACACTTTGCATAAATAAAATTTAAATTATAGAAGAAAGCTCTGAGAAAAATTATAAATTTTTTAAACAAAATGCTCGAATTGCTCGAGCTCTTGCTCTAAAATTTTGAACAATGAGCAATGAACACATTCCCATATCAAACACCATTTAATTGTACATATGATATCGCCATTAGCGCCGCCTGACCGGAAAGACCCGAATTCTTTTCGTACGTTCAAGTATAGTTATATTCTGTTTTGACAGGTTTCAAACATAAATATTCTATAAGACTTACAGCGCTTTGGGCTATGTTCAAAATATTCCGCACATAGACCCGACCTACCTTGCGTTTGTGCCTTCGAGTTGCTCCCTCTTTAGCTGTGTTCATTAAGAAATATCTGTAAAAATTAGCAAGTAACGAAATTGAGAGAGTAATATGTCTTACTCTCCCAAAGAAAGATATTTATTGAGTTTCGCCGAACAGGATTCAGCAAAAACTATTTATAATTATAACTATTTATAATTTATTATTTCTCAACGTAAGCTGTGGGGCGATGATTCCTCTCCGCTGCCACCACTTAGGAAAATACTTAAAGATATTTCCAAAAAAAATTAAATTAAATTTAATGAAAAATATATTCAAAAACAGAAACGATAGTAGTTTAAAGGCATTAGTCGGAAATTCCTTTAAGACATATTCACTTCTCTACCGTCATGGCATTTTGTGTCTGGATATGGATAAAAAAGAGTATTTACACTCCGAGGGCTTGAAACTTGAAATCATTCCGAGGGACAGTACGCAATGTGGGCAGCATTCAGTATGCGGGAATAAATATTCTTCTTCTTTACTGGCGTGGAGACCGAAGAGAACCATAAATCTTACGCAAAACCTTTCTCTCGAATGGACGGAATATCCCTCCCACCACATATACGACACCATATTTGCGCTCCTTTATATGGTCACAGGACCTACTCGCTGGCATCCTTTCCCCGTCCATCGCACTTCTTAGACGACGGTGATACGAATCTTTATTCTTACGACGACATCAACCACTTGGGCATCGGCATTTTTGCAATCAAAGGACCGGGCATTCCCAGCGCATGCCCTCAAATCGTGATCCTTAAAACAATTGCGGGGGTCGTCATCATTGGATCTGGTTTGGTGGGTCACAAAATAAGCGCACAACCTCACTAGAGGAGTAAGTTTAAAGTTTGTACATATTTATACAGCGAGCCGCTTGTTCAAGACCGACACTCGCTCGCAGCCATATATCTGGTGGACAGACGCTGCAATTAGACTTCAGCGAACCATTGAACCGAATAATTACTTTTACACTGAAATTCGGAAAATATCAGTGATGGTCATCGAAGCATTTTATTTAAAGGAACATACCTGTTGTGTAAAGGTGCTTCAGTTTGCACATATGTAAGTGGCTGCTAAGTTGCTTGGCTGAGAATGTTTACATTATCAACATCTTTTCTACCTTCAGTATCATTTTCACAGTGCTCTCAATAACAACAACTCGCATGTCCTTTAAGAACTAACAAAACTTTTCACATACATATAAGAATAAAATATGTTTAATATAAATTTTAATCAGCTATAATTAAGTGATCATTTTCAATTACGCGTGTGTAAAATAATAACATGTGCATATACATATATAATTATACGTGATCATGGCATAAAAATTAAAAACCGCAAAGAATGCATTTTTTTTTTTTGGAAAATATGATTATTTTCTGTGCTCATAAATTCATATAAATATTTTTTTAGTTAGTTGAAATAGCGGTATCTATTGGAATGGGTTTTAAAGTATAAAAAAAGTGTGCTCTGAGGACATAAGTAAAATATTTGCGAATTTTCTTCTTACTATTAAAATTTGAAGATGATCGTAAGAGTAAGGAAGCTTTTCAGTCAACATCTTTTATTGAAATGTTAGGCATTTTGAGGAACTTCAGGCATAACACTTCAAGAATTTTTCTTCTTGTGGATCTGAGGATCCACATCTACATGTGCTTCTTGTAGAACATTGTTAGTGAGTAAGAATGGGTTTTTGGAATATTCAACTGGTTACTTAGGAGTGCTGTTGTGGGAATTGAGTGTTCTTGCTATGGGGTTCGAATTTAGTATGTTGGTGAAGGTAGAATGAAAGTATTTTACTTTTATAGTTTATTCCGTGAGTTGAACAACTGTCATAGGGCTTACGTATATTTCCTCAGATTGAAAACGTATTTTCCTCCTATCTGACGGGTTGTGACTTGTGATTACTGCATATAACTTCGTTTCCTTTTCCTATTCGTGTAAAATAATTAAGGGCGTAATGTTAATCCCGATTTTCTTAATCCAAGACTTTGATTTGTAATGTAAGTCAAAAGTAAGAGCTTTGAAAAAAAATTCAGTTGGAGGTCAAATTAAAAGTGGAAAGATTTGAAAAATTTTAATACAATATGCCGACGACCCATCATTATTGCGTCAGTGGTGTAGTCGCCTTGAATAAAGCTATACAATTCAACACGGTATGTATACGTAAAATCTCGGTACAAGCTTATAATAATCCCGAATATTTAAGATAATTCCATATATACTTACATACACTTATGTATGTATACATATATTCAGTTCATAGTTATGTATATATGTATGTATGTATGTTCATACAAAATATGGGCAATTCAAATTAAGGCTAAGGTCTGTAGTCAGCACATTTGAGAGAGTTTGTATTTGCAAATAGTGATGAATGCATTTGTAAATGCTCTTAAGCTCTCAGATATATTATATGTCATAATGTAATAATCAATTTCATTAATTTTCCATTTGAGTAGGCATCAGCAGTGGTGCAACTGTTGGTCACATAAGCTGAGGTTTCTAACAATGGACAGAATTATCAAAGCTGTTAATTATTTAACGGTCATGAAAATATCATATTTGAGTTTTTATAATAATGTACATGTGTATATAGATATTTACAAATACATATGTTATTCAACCACTAACCGCTACCTTTCGATATTCTGTTTTTGGGTTAACCGATGGCATACCATCATATTCCAAGTCACTACGATATCTGCACTTAGTTTGCGCCTTTTTAAATTTAATTAAAATTTTTTTTCTTTCCCTACATCAGGTCATCGTGGAAATCAACAGCCATGTATCCCTATTCCGTGATATGCTAATACAGATTGGCCAACCCAAGGACTGCCCCGAGTTACGCGAAAACATACGAAAGTTGCGACGCATTTGCGTCGATACATGTAAACATATGGGACAAGCAATTATACCGGAAGTCAGAAGGTGCGTAAAAAATAGTTATTCGTGGCAGTATTACTTCCAAATGTTGCTTTCCGATTGAAATGTGCGCAGGGCCCACTTTGTTTGAATGAATTCAATCAGTTTCTCTGTTTAAATTTGATAATTGAAGAACTTTCTGAATTATTGGAATACTATGGATTTATAAAAATGCTCGAAAGGAATAAGAAATGCAGTAAATATTCGATTTCTGCACATTCGATACTGGTTCATTGCTCAGCTGCTCCAATGTTTCTTTGAAGGCTCGAGCCTTTGATATATATATATATATATATATATATATATATTGTATTTCTCTACTTTGATTTAGTACAATGGCCGAAGGACTGTTTGTTGATAATCCGCATTTAGTTATACTGTTCTACTTGGCACAGCTGTTTCTGCGCGAGCTAGTGAAGTGCTATCGACTTACTCGAGTGATCCCAATGGATATGTCCAGCTATTACGGTACGTGTGATCAATTGAATTTATATGTATCTTTCATTAAGTTTGATTTTAATTATTAGTTAAAATACTTGTTGCTGTTGAGCTTTGAACTCTATTTATGTAGTATGTATATAGATACTTATCTGTTTTCTTATAATATACATATTTAGAAAATTATTATACAATTGAACTGTCTCAATCGGGCTAAGGCAATTTTCAATTAAAATGACTTTTTTCAGAAACACGAGCAGTATCGTCAAACTTCGGTAATTTAATTAGCCAAATCTTACTCTGTAAGCAAATAACACCTGACTTTAAGGAGGAAGAGTTATGCAGTGTAGCAAAAGATTCTCAGGAAATCGCAACGCTTATAACAGAGCTTCAGGAATATATGCCAAAGCATGAATCTCTTCTAGGTAAAACAGATTTTCATGCAATCTAACCAATTAAAATATGCCTGTTTCCACAGAACGCAATTCCGCTTTGGAAGACAAAGGATGGTGGAATTATAAGAAACGACGTAACTTAATAAACAAGCATCTAAATTTACTTTGTTGCGTATCCAAACCAAGTTACCTACGTACATAGACATATCACCATCGAGAGCGGTGCATATTGGGTTTTGTGCGAACTTAAAGTAACTTATAGCGCGTGTGAATGGAGACACCTACACTTTATACTCCCCCACGTCTGAATGGTTTTTACTTATGAATTTATGCAGTAGTAGTAGGAGTGTCAAACATTCACATTTGAAAAGTTACACAGGTAAGAGTTTGAGTGCATGGAAAGCAAAAAGTATCGAGATCTCCTATGAAAAAATAAAAACATATTTGTGCCTAATGGCTGACTTCGGCGGTGCACGGAAGATGGTTTTTTAAAAATCATTATAAGGTCTTAACTGACCTTTCCTTAAAATTTTCTTATTACTTTTTTTTTACGAAAAAAAACTATCTAGCTAAGGTGTATCTGTCGTAAGAGTTGACTAACATTCAATAGCTCCCACGACAGCGCAGTCTTTATACCGTTTATATCCAGGTTTTTATTCGGCCGAAAACTGTCGATCTAGAGGGTTTAAACAAAAACCACTTGGGAAATACTTTTGAGGTTACAACAAGAACTTTTCACCTTTTAGTACGTATGTTATTGAGCAGATAAATAAAAACACTCGATATATTTTTAATATGCGATATTCACATCTACAATGCAACACACCGACATAAAAAATTTGCCAAACAAATTCTATTTTTATATTTTTACTCCCTCCTCACGTTTTTATATTAAATATTTTTCCCGTATTGTGACAAAGGCTTGTATACTTTTCATCCTTTACAGAATCCCATACGTTGCACTTAGAAGCCGCTTCGGTGCCCTTTATATGAATTTCTACGCCCTCTTTATGATCCATATCATAAAAACAAGATACAAAATAACAATGCCTATAAGGAAAGTTTGATGATATACCCGTTCTACAAATATGTTTATATACAGATCTAGAGATCATATAAAAAGAACTTACTTCTTGCCACCAGTACAATCTACACAATAACCAATAGCACATCCTACACGAGATATCTGGTCATGAGCAAGTACTTTGAAAGCAGCCGACTCTTTCGCTTGCCACTCTGAGAAAGCAGTGGTCATCAGTGTACTTAATGTAATGTGTCTTTCACCATCTTTCGATGCAGTATTGTGTCCTACTTTTTCAAAGCGTGCAGTTTTGTGACATACGCTTGGCTTATCAGGGCATAATCCGGTATGGGTACGTGCTAAGAAAGCTAACTCATGGTCCCAGATCAGATTACGCATGCGAGTTGCGCTGTTTTCCTTAGCTACGTTATTACGAATATTATTGTGTTGTTCCAGGATAAGACGGCGCACTTTGAAAGTCGGGGGCACATGATGCTTAAATGTGCCTTTGCTCTTCTGGATGCACAATGATAAAGGGACAATGAAATATAAAATTTATAATATCGATTAACTATTATGAACTGGCTCCGAATATAACCGACAGCCTTTTGCACTTACAATTTCAGATGAATCGCACATAAGATGTTTTCCCTTTTCACACCAGTCCTCGCTACCGCAGAAATAATTATAGGTGGTGCCTTCGTAAAAGCAGTACGATCCGATGAGATATAGAAATATGTACTTAAATGGATTAATCATAATTGATGGAGAAATCAAATTTATTTTTATTGTAAATTGATATACATATGTATGCAATAAATATAATATTTTGTGAAGTAAAAATAATTGGTTTGGTTTGATATTTATATTTGTATATTATGTACCTAAGTACATATATATGTATATAGATACATACATAAGCCTGTACACACAAGTACCTGAGGCTTCCTCATATCCGCATAGGCAAATAAAAGTCGCTTCGATTCCTTTAACAGAAAATGTTTAATTTTATGTTGATTTTAGAAATTATGTAATAAGTATATACAAATAATATATACTAATATAGCAGAATAATCAACTTATATTTATGGTATCCAATGACAATGTAAAAATATAAAGATTTTCATAGAAAATCTGAAAATATATGTATGGTTTGGATTATACCTTTTCTTAAGATTAAATTTATTTAAATAAGTACGGCACAGCGCTTATCAATTGAGCATTTGACATGTAAATAACGCAGAGTTTCTCGCCTAAGTGGGGAATCAAAATTGTAGACTTAAATTCGGTTTTACTATACTTCTTTATGCACGTAATGTGATTATCAAGTAATATCAGAACGTAATTAAATTTAGAACACACATTGCTCCTTCTGTAAACTTTGTTTTCTTTTTATGTATAATCCAAGTCTTAATTAATTTATTTTTAAGTCTTCTTTCTATCCCAACATTGATTCCGCTACAAATTTATAAATATTTTCTTCTAGTTACATTAACTCTATCGTACTTAATTACACTAATGTAATTTAACATCAGAAGAAACATTACAGGCTATACAAATTCAATATTGTAACAAAAAGGTTTCTTACAGCAAGAAGAAAATAAGATATAAACCTAAACACAAATCTTTTAATGCTAAATTCAAAACCTCTTTAGAATCTGACAATGAGCACCTTTTACTGATTTATTTATCATTACGTAAAATATTCATAAAGGGATGGATTTCACATTATTAAAATGCCTATCAGACTATATATTTGATGCACATAATTGGAACTTAAATGAACATACGTAAGTATTCTCTAATGATGGATGTGATTATTATGTTCAAATGTTGTTGGAGGCTGTCAGAATTCTGTATGCGATAAACATGAGGAACTTTTATGCTGTTGCTGCGCCCATATTATGCTTATTATTCGTTAGTATATTTGTCAGCAAGACAAATGAATCACGTATGTGCACTTGCGGAAAGTTTTTCTAAACGCAGACAAAGTTCCTGCGCTAACCGCATTTGTGTTGCGGCGGTAGCACAAGTAGACGGAGCAGCGGAGGAATTGACTGTTGCAGCAACTTCACGAGGATTTAAATGTGTCACGGCCTCCTGATAGCTGGGGCAGACACCATGCCAGCGAGCTTTGCTATAGGCATGGGACTGTAGAAAGAAAATAATAAACAATAAAATTCAGGGCTACAATTAATAAATTATTGATTATTTTGTGTACTCACCATAGTGAAGTCACGTTTCCACTGAACACCACACTGGCCATCACATAAAGGACAGGGACGCTCTAAACTATAACCGCCGCATTCACTGCAGTCAAGGGAAACATGGTCGTCGGTCCAGGAAACGCCACAAGTAAAGCAAGAGCCCATATGCTGCCGCAACTCCTCGATTGTGAGTACGTTGTCTGCGGAAATTTCCAACGGACTACCGACCAGATCGGACAATGACGATGAGATACTAATACTGCTGCGCCTGCAATTATTTTTATTTTATTTATTAAGGTTTTAATATTCATTGCAAAAGAATTGTTTAAATTTTTAATTTTCGCGTGTGCATGTGTATGCACTTATGTTTGTGGGAGCATAAATAACAAGGTCATTAATTAAATTGAATGGAATATTTCTAATCGGAATTGAAAAGAAACGAGCACGACAGGGGTAGGCGGATATATTTTTATTTGGTAAGTGTCAAAATCGGAATATTGAGAAAATCACACGTATCATATGGGTTTCTTAAAATTTTTAAGCATTCCTACGTTCAAATATGTATATACATAATTAACGCTTTAAAACAGCTTAATGATCTTCGTTCGAGCTTCTCACCGATGGAGGGAATCTACGGTTCTCAGTTACCTTCGAAGTCTCAACGTATTTTATGAGTTTTTATCATATTTGCATAAGATTTTTCGTTCAATATGTGAATAAACTGATAGGAGGAGATTTTTCGATATAACTCGGCTAGTGCATGCATACACGTATATCAAACTTACCCCAAAGGACTGCAAATATCCGTGAATTGTGGTCCGTGCACACTAGCTAAAGACATTGTTGTAGGAACTGCAAATAAATAAAATTGAAAATTTATATGTAGATTAGTTGATTGTTAAAATATTACATAATATACATATACGAGTATATAAATAATATCTGCAACTAAACCTGAGTTTCATCTGCACAATTATAAAACTGATTAAAATAGATTTTGGTTATAAACGCCTCCACAAGTGCATAGATATTTTTTGTTCTACATACATATTATATGTATGTAAATGTGTACATACAATGCACATAGCCGTTTGTGAACCCCACAAAAGCCAGTTCACAAAGCATACATTAAAATACATACATTTATTTATATATATATATATATCACATATACATATATATATATACATATGGGTTGGCGAGTTACAAGTCGAGTTATTTTCAGACAAATATATTTTTAATTGCAAAGCAGTGTTTTTCAATTGGCGCGACATCATTGTAGTTATTTTTGCACGGGTTGCATGACTAGAATAATGAGCTTACACCGCAAAACCATACGGCTGTCATAGACACATACGAGTACAAACGCGTATGTATGTATGTATGTACTTGCATTAATATTTTTGTGCGGAATAAAATATTTATAGAATTTTTCTCAGGAAATAATGTGCAGTAAACATTATCTGTAGAGCTGTATTTTAGCTAGAAATGTATATAAGTATATATGTATTATGTTTATATAAATATAATTTTTGCTTCTTAAATGCTCGTCCGAGTTTCTCCTCCTATTTGTGTTGTGCGTCTTCATGCCTATCCAATAAATGACAAATGGAACGAGCCACTGCAGAGTTTTTTTCTCGTCAGAATGTCCTCGGAGGGCTTAACATTCACTGCCGAGGGGCGACTTTAATTACAATAAAAAAAAGAAAAAACAAACAGCTGCCATCGGCCACGCTGGGGTGTTTATACCTTTCAAATCCATGGCTATGGTATGAATTCCATTTAAGGCACGGGCTAAATGATATAGTGATTTTGGTACCAATGCAAAAATCGATATACATACATGTGTGCTTAGAATATCAAATTTCTTGCACTTATATGATTTTTCGACGGATATCTGAAAAATCGGTAGATAAGTTATAGTGGTTCAATTTAGCCGGTTCCCACAAATGATCGTTTAAATGTTGCAGTGCATCTGCGTACCAAGTTTGGCTGAAATACATGTCTCAAAAACTGAGGGACAGACATTGATAAATCAACTCAGCTCGTCATTCTGATCTTAGTGGTATCAAATTTGATGTTATATTAATTTTTTGCAATAGATCGTCTCACCAGGACCTTCTATTGCGGCAGTAGAAATGAATACCCATATGAGCTATCAGTGAGTCAGACAATTATTCGGAAATGTATGTATGTACATACGTACATATGCACAATAATATAAAACATGTTAAATGTAGTAATTTCTAATTTCGATCACTTTATCCGATCATCAGCATTTTCAGTGAAAGAGCCGTTGCAAAAGCTTCAAAAAAAAAAGCTCTTAATAATGCGAATGGGAATAACCGCATTTAGGTAATTCGAAAAATTCACGGTAGTAAATGCGTCAGGTGAATTTCTCAGAAAGAGTAAAACTTTTTGTTTGTAACAAAAATCACATTTCATACTAAACATCACAACTCGTTTGTAGCTATTACATACATATGTACATGCATACGCAAATACATGCCCATGAATGCTGGAAATCATCATCGGCATTGTGATATAAAATATTTAAAAACACGTTGGAATGAGTTAAGTTCAAAAGGGACCGTACATTGCATGGACTTTTTAGATTTTTCAGTGGTACAGAAAGTGGGATGAGCGTTAGTGGGAGTCGTTTCAGGTCAAACATATGAATTCAAAAATTTTCACAAGTTCCCATATTTGATCACCGGAATTAATGGCTTCAAGTCAGTGTGGCCAGATTTCATCCATTCACAAGCATTTCCTTAGAACGAAGCAACAAGTCCACCAAATGCCAGCAAGGTCTCAACATTTTTGCTCAAATAATTTCTTGCACGAATAGACAAATTAATGGGATAGCTAACATCGCTAAATAAGTTTTTTTCATCATATGTATATACTCTTACTTATTTTATAATGCAAATACGGTACAGTCGGGTAAAAATAAATAATATATATATATTTATATATGTATATATATTGAAAAATAATATAGTATATTGAAAAATATATTACGCCATTACAAATCACTGAACTCTGAAATTGGCGATATTTTCAATTTATATTACATTTTAAAATTATTTGAAGTACGCATTTACTCATATTGTATTGAGATGTTGTTAAATATGTATTTGAAAGGTACATACATACTTTTGTAGTTACACTCACAGCAAATGGCCTGACCCTGAGAGTTCATTTTCAAACAACACTGAAATCCACACACATACACATGAGTATATGCATACAAGGGTAAATATGTATATCTAAGTAGAGTGAATTGCAATTGATAAAAAATGGAAGGGGCTGAATCATATTTTTTATATCCGGCATTTATGTATAATATTATGGTTTACATGAATTTTATCATTCATCTCCGCAGTCGCAGAATGCACTCAATATTAATGAATCAAAGACTGGACATAGACTTTGACAAAAAAAAAACATGGTAAGTGGACTCTCATATAATCAAGCAGCAGACTTGTTAATTATTTGCAAGAAAACTGGAAAAATGTGGTTAACGATTTAGCAAAACTAGGTTTCACTCGAAATGCTTGTGGCTGGCTCTGTCTTTTTGCCAATCTTTACTTTATAGCCGCCACTGCCTACGTATGCAAACAAGTATAAATATTATATATACACTTGTACATGTGTACCTATAAATATGCATGTATCGTTCGTAAACATTGTAACATAATCTAAGTATGTATGTATGTGTATGTAGAAACGCAAATAATCTGAGAAATAGCAGAACTGTTGAATGTAATTCAAACACTAATTAAGGCCAGCTATAAAGCAAGGGAAGCCAGGGACACACGATCCTCTATGACTTTGCACAGCTTTGTTTATGGTGATACATACGTAAATATGTACAAATGCGCATACGCAAAGTTTACTCAGTTGGATGTTAAGGTTCCAGTTTTCGTTTTCTGCCGTCACTTACATTATTTAATGTGAGTACATATATACCTATTTATATAAATATACGTACATATATCCCCTTGACGTCAATTACGATCGCATCGCTGAAAAATAATTCTCGTCATGAACAAATAACCGTTACAAAATAATAATAATGCACAAATTCGCTCTTTTTTTTGCGGACTCTTCCAGCCGTCAGTGATTTCTTACAACAATGAGATTGATGAACTTGAGATATATAAAAATGGGTGAAAGTGCATTAAACATTTAGTAGTTGGGCATGGCCGGAACATACTGAAATAGGAAACTTTAAGCAGAAAACGATATTTTTTTTACAAAGTTTGCGCATTCATCAGATATTTGCACGACCTGAAAAACCGCACTCTTACATATAAATTAATAGTAAATTAAAGCTTTTGAGAAACTGTTGCGCATTTGTGTGTTATTTAATTTATTTCCGATTATAACCGGATAGGAGCAGTTCAGGCTAAATGTGTACGTCTTTTTAAATATATATTATATGTATGTCAATATGTATATACGAGTATATAGTATGTACGCGCATCCAAATGTGCATTTGTCTGGAGCCCAGATAAATCAGAACGATATTTAAGTCGAGCAAAACTTAGTTTCCAATATAACAGTTTTTTAACAAATATACACATTTTAAAAGTTATAACGATAGACTTGAGCATTTTTCCTTATTGTGCGTGTAGCATTTATGCCAGTCTCGACAAAATTAAATAAGAACACATACGGTGATATGATCAAATTTTCGACTTTTATAAGGTTATACGAGTGAGGCGACTGCGGCAAGTTCATTTAGTTGAACGTTCTTCAAGTGCATTTTTTCTTTGGTATTTCACCGCTCCCGGGCAGTTTTGAAGCAATGATGTTAATTACAAACTTTTACTTATAATAATTTATAACTGCTTTTTACTGAATACTTTATTTATAAAATTTTTGAAGTTACTTACTTTTTTATATTTATAGTAAATCCAAATAAAAAACTGCTCTGGTGTTTTAATTATTTTTTTTTTTGATGGCTTTGTCGATTTTTCAACTTTTGATTTTGCCTTTGTTTCGGAATACAAATTTCTTAAACGTCACAATTTGTAAAAATGTGCACTAAAGGGTTTAAGCTTCTTTGTTTTTCACTGTGCTTGTGCTACTTTTACTGAACAGTTTCACAACTTTTTCAGTCCACTTTTTTATTTGTTATTATTTTAACTTCTTTATTTTATATTCACTTGATTGGATTTCTTTCGATTTTGTTTGTATTCAGCGGTTTTGCTCAGCACTCACTGACTGTCAAACAAATGTAAGCTTTTGCTACGAAGTGACAAACACGACCCAACTCAAAAGACTGAAATAAATTGCTGCGTGCGACCGACTTTTATGAGATTCCACTCGACAGCGAGGCCCCTTGCACTACAGCTGGTGTGTGGCTATGGTGTGTATGGGCTTTACATACTTATGCGGTGCGAATGAATATGCATACATATGTACATATATATGTATATATGTACGTGCATACGGCCACACAAATGTATTAAGCTTCAAAGCTTCACGTTAACAGATATACATGTGTGCATATGTATACATGTATGTATGTATGTAGAGTATGCAATGTGTGCATGATATATGTATGATGTATGTATGTATGCTCAACGTGCATTTAGCCTTTGTAGCGGAAAGCAGTGTGGCTGTTATTGTGTATAAAATGCAGGCGCCAGACGTGTGGTATGAGTGATCAGCTAACTCACAGTAGAATTTTACGAGTTTTTCGACTCGTTGGTTAATGATTGAGACTGTAAAGGAATTCATAGAGAGACGGAGATCCAAATGCGAATGTGATATATGCAAAAGAGTGACAATAAAAAATCTTCAATATTCACAACTTTCACGGGCAGTTAATATTGATTCCG